TTTTTTCATTTTCCATTCTAGAGTTATTAGAACTTTTTTTTTTTTTTTTTTTTTGAATACTAGGGATTGAACTCAGGATCTTGTGCTTGCCAGGCAAGCGCTTATTCTACTGAGCTATCTCCCTGGCCCTATTAAAGCTCTTAAGATGTGCATATATTAGAATAGAACCTAACTGTATTTTATGTTGGGTAGATTTTATTGATATATGCTCAATGTACAGAATATGTACTAGGTCTGTCTCCTAGATATATGTGCTATATGTACTGGATATACAAGCACATATTAGTATATATTATTGTACAGTACAGTAATCTATACTATTGTACAGTGCATATACTACTCCAGCCTTATCCATACAACACAGTATGTTTTTGCATGTTAACATATCTGTGTAACTAATTCCTATGTGAATAAAAGACAATTTCAGAGTGTTGCAGAAACCCCCATTTATTACCTTTCTCTTCATTTGATACTTCAACTATGGCCATATGTTCATTTTATTATCTGAATCATTTTTATCCCCATTCATGTATGCATTCTTATTTTTGAAATATGTATTTTCTAATTATTGTTAAATTTTTGAACTTTGTTTAATTTTGAATATATAAATTACCAAAATATCTTGTATGAACATACAGAAATCCATAAGCATACAAAATTTGCTTTTTTTGGCTCAGTTTTAAGTTTGTGAGTTTGGTCGATGTTGTTGCATGTAGGTATAGATTATTTGTTCTTTTTGCTGCATGCTCGTAAGTGGTCATACTTTGGAGGGTTGTATTATGCTTTATCCATTCTCTTGTTGATGAACATTTGCTTTGTTGTTTTTGTTTTTGATTATTACCATGTTGTGGTTCTGTCACCATCCTCATGCATGTTTTTTGGTTAGCAATGTAAAAATACCTCGGAGTGGAATCATTGGATCATGTTGTGTGCATATGGTCAGTTTTCCTGCAAACTGTCAAAGTGGTAGAACCAATTTATATTCACCACCAGTATGTGATATTTCTAGTTGCTCTTTGCCAACTTCTGTTGTCTTTTTCCTCTTTTTATTTTCTTTGAATTTAAGCATTTCTTGAAAATAGTGGTCTTTTTGATGACTAAGTTGAACACTTTGAAATATTCTTATTGGTCATTTAGACATTTTGAGAATTGACTTGTTTAAATATGTTGTCTCTTTTCTACTGAGTTTTCTACCTTTTTATTGTTTTAAAGGAATTATTGATATATTTTATTTTTTTATTTTTATTTTTATTTTTTTAATTTTTATTTATTTGTGTGTGTGTGTGTGTGTGTGTGTGTGTGGCCAGCTCAGCCCACCAGGGGGTGGGGCTGGCTGGCATGTGGTGCTGGGGGATTGAACCGCGGTCCCTGTGCTTTGCTAAGCTTGTTCTAAGTAGGCGCTTTAGACCACTGAGCCATCTCTCCAGCCCGATATATTTTAAATATGAAACACTTCACAGATTTGCGTGTCATCCTTGCGCAGGGATCATGCCAATCTTCTCTGTATTGTTCCAATTTTAGTATATGTGCTGCCAAAGCGAGCACTGATATGTTTTCTTTAAAAGAGCCTTGCCAGTTTTATGTCTTGCAAAGTTCTTTTAGTGTGTAGCAGCTGGGCAGAATCAGAAAGGAGAGCTTCTCTCTTGCGCTGTCACCTCCAATGTAAATTCAGGCGATTGAATGTGTGAGCATGTCGGGGGGGGGGCGGTCCTACTCTAGAGATGTGTATCAGGTGCTGTGGACAACAGAAGAGGCAGCAGGTGAAATGACTATCAATTACAGGCTTACAAAGGATGTGTTACACTTGAGCTGGCCTTACGAGTATGGCTAGGAATCTTTCAAATTGGAGAGAAAATGGAATGTACTAAATGCAGAAATATGAATGTATATGTCAGTTGGGGATAAGTGATATGAAAAGCAGGTATGGAATAGGGCTTCAAAGGGTAGTATGGGTCCAGATTATAGAAGCCTTAGATGTCAAGCCATACTTCTGCCTATTTAATGGGAGGACATTGTAAGTATCTATGTAAACAAGGGCTGACATCATGTTTTCACTTCAAATGATAGTTTCAGGAAAACTAAATGATGAAGTAGAGGTAAAGACTAGAAGCATGGAGATAGATTACAAATTTACTCAAATTTAGAGATAATGTGGCACTCCTGGAAATAGAAAGTAGAACACGCACTCTAGGGATCACATAGAGATAGATAGGAC